AGGGGAATGATGAATAAAAAATGAAGTAGGAATAGCATCCGGATCTCAAATTATTCTATACAGCAGGAATCGTTAAAACTATTTGGCATTAGTTAAAAAATAGAAAAATAGAACAATCCAATAGACTCAGAATTAAGGTTAACTCTAATTCAATATTGACCAGCCTTATTTGGAGAAGAACTTCCTATATGGGCGAATGGAAAGCACATACCACAATAAGCTCAAAATGTATATGCAGCCTGCATATTGATGTCACATAAAAATGAATTAGAAGAGAATCAGAACAGGTAGTTTTCATAGCTATGACTAGAGAATAGATTCTTAACCAAACACTACAAAAGATAAAACAGATCATTTTGATTACATAAAATTAAAAAGGTTTTATATGAACAAAATTATATAAATGGGATAAGAAAGGAAGTTATTGGCTTAGAGGAATTTTTGCACGAGATATTTTGAAGGGCCTGATATACAAGAAATATAGAGAACTGACACAGACATATAAGACCAAGGACCATTCCCTAAAGGTTAAATGGTCAAAGTATATGAATAGTTTTCAAAAGAAGAACTGTCAACTATAAACAACCACATAAAAAAAATGCTCCAAATCACTGATTAATACCAATAAATACCAATCAAAGATAAATGCCAATCAAAACAACTCTGAAGTTTTACCCCCCAATCAATAAATTGGCAAAAAAAGATGGAAATGGTCAATCTTGGAGGAGTTTCTTGTGGAAAGATGAATACACTAATATACTCTTGGTAGAGCTATGGATTGGTAGGACATTCTGGAAAACAATTTGTAATTATGCTAAGAAAATCACTAAAATGTCCGTATCCTTTGACCTGGCCATCCCATTGCTAGGCACATATCCTGAGGAGTTCTTATATACCCCCAAATATTCACAGAAGTAGAACAAAAATAGTTGGCTATGATTGAGGTACATGGATACAGGGGAATATGAAGAATTTGGAGAAGCACAGGAAGAATTATATAACCTGATAATGACTGCCATAAGCAGAAACAAGTAAACAATGACTACAACAATATAAAGAGAATGACAAGAATAACAATCCTGAAGGCTGTGTAATTATCATAACTACATTTGCCCCCAAACAAGAGATGAGAAACCACACCTCCAGCTCATTGAGTAGCAGAAAAGTGAGGGTTATATTGAGAAATGAAGGCAATAGATAAACAAAATATATCAATACAAATTAAAAATTAAAAATAAATCCTGCATTACCTTAAAGACTATTGGTGTTTTAGAAGCCAGCATGATCTATTAGATGAATTCATATTTTGGCATGCACACTTATTTTCTAAAAGCCTCCAATTTATTTATTAACTAAGCAGTTGCACAGTTTTATTGATTACATGCATACTAAAGCACTTGGTAAAACACACACACACACAAACACACAAATGTTAACTTCATTTCAAGGTTTGTCACACAAAATGAATATTTTTCAATTCGGGTTATTTGTCTGAATAACTTTCAGATTTGTACGGAAGAAAGCCTCAAATTCTTTTCCCCCAAAATGGAAGGTACTTTAGTAGGAAATTTCATTTCTATGTGAAATAACAATTGTTTTTCAATAAATTCTCTCAGCTATTATATTGACTAAAGTGGAAAGATTTCGAAATTAATTGTTGTCTTTGCAGGCAAAGCTATTTTTCAGGCTAGGAGTGGGTGGTGGGGAGGAAGAAGAAGCAAATGAGAGGCGGCACCTTGTAGTACACAGACAGTAGGCCTTGGAGTCAGAATGACTTAGGTTCAAATCTCACGTCTGACCAACACCGGCTGCATGATCGAGTCAAGCCACTTATCCTCTCAGAGTTAAGTTGCAGACAAGTTGCCGATCTGCATCTGTGGAAGATTTTTTATTCAGGGAGCTCTTTACACAGATGAAATCATAAGTGCAGATTGGGGAAAATATACTCTTACTACACACATCACATAGGCTAGGCAGCTAGGTGACATGGTGGATAGAACGCTGCATGTAGGTTCAGGAAGATCTGAGTTCAAATCCTGCCCCAGACAGTTACTAGCTGTGTGACCCTGGGTAAGTTACTTCACCTATATCAGCTTCAATTTCCTCTTCTGTAAAATGCGGGTAATGACAGCATCTACCTCTCCCAGGGTTGTTGTGACGATCAAATGACGTGCTTTGCAAACCTTAAAATACTCTATAAATGTGATGGTGATGGTGATGGTGATGGTGACGGTGACGGTGACGGTGACAGTGATGGTGATGATGCCTATGCCTCAGAACTCAAATACCCAAATGAATCTGTGATCTCACTGATTTAGGAGTTCCCTCAAGGGAGGCAGATTACAACCTATCCATGCTTGCCTGTCCTATTCAATTCTCCTTCTTGTCCCCTTGAAAGTTTGCTATTGGGGGTCCCCCCAATGGCACCAGTGGAACAATCTCTTAACATTGCCATGAGACAAGTCTATCCTCTTTTCCTGTCATAAAATTCTTTGATAACATCAAGTTGACAACATTGATTAAGCGCCTACTATGTGTCAGGTACTGTGCTAAGCTCTGGGGACAGGAAGAAAAGCAACAACTAGTCTCTGTCTTTAAGGAGCACACAGCCTAATGGGGGAGACAGCATACAACTCACTATCCAAACGAGATGTAGCATTTATTTAGTGCCTACTGTGTGCTAAGCGCTTTACAAATCGTATCTCATTTGATCTTCACAATAACCCTAGGAGATAGGTGCTATTATTATCCTCAATCTACAGTTGAGGAAACTGAGGTCAACAGAAGTTAAGTGACTTAGCCAAGGTCACACAGCTAGCCACTGTCAAGGGTCAGATTTAAACTCAGTCTTCTTGACTCCAGGCTCAATGCTCTATTCACTGTGCCACCTAGCTGCCTCAATAGTGTAATAACTCATTACTTTATAGGTTATGAGAAGTTATTGATAACAACAAATTGGAGCTAATCTCAGAGGGAAGGCACCAAGATTTAGGAGGACGAGGAAAGGAGACTTGAATGAAGCCAGGCAAATGAGGAGGTAGAGATGAAGAGGGAGAGAATTCCAGGCATGGCAGGCGCTCTGTGACCATGCCTGTCCTTCCCTTTTGTTTCCCTGGAGCTCTTCATCATTCCTAAGCTGGAGCCTGCTCACACCCATCTTGCACTTCTCTCCACGTCTCACTGCTATATGGCTATACCAGTATATTGTCAATCTTGAAAAGATGGGCCCTTGCTTTCATGGGAAGTTTGGGGTCAGGAAAAGGGCTCTGCAATTTCCCAAAAGCCATCCGGCTCACTCTCCACCTCCTCTTCAACTTTTGGCTCAGCTCATTGACCATCTGTCCTGTCAGTCTCAAATATACATACTGTTGGGCAAATCCTATAGGGTGTCCCTCCAAATGGATGTGGAAATGTGGAAAAAACTCAAAGAAGCCAAGGAAAATCTTTTCTTTTCAACTTTCCAGTTGCCAAGGAAAACATCCTCTCCAAGCTGGTGACTCGATTAGAGTCATGGTATAGCACATTTATGGGTGGGAAATCACTTTTATAGACTGCACTGGACAGTTGCTTCTGATAGCTGATCCCAAGAGGCCCCCTGGGCCATGGGAAAACAACTCCCTTTTCCCATATTACAACTTGGTCCTGGTGCACTCCGGGGCTTCACAACATTGCTATTAATTAGGGATTATCTGCAGGCAGAAATAAATGTGTCTAATTATAATGAATATCTAATCTTATTAGATAAGGATCCTTTGCAAATTGCAATGTCATGGAGCTCAGCTGAGGCAAGGATTTAATCTCTTCTAATTGAGGCAAAGGTTTAAATACAATAATATGAATATAAATCACATTAAGTAGCTATGTGTTATAAAACTGAGTGAAGAAAAGCAATGCCTCGATATTAATCATATTTACTGCTGATTGCAATCATCCACCCAGGAGCTGGCGTCCAAAGCACTTGTCCTGCTGCTGGGGAAGATGCAGGTCCTGATCATTACCAGATGCCCCTGCTCTCGGGCTTCCCCCAAGGTAGCCAGAGGCTTTGGGAAATGTCCACATACTCTCACGGCTCTGTAAGATCTCAAAACTGCTTTGGGGCTGCTCATACCTGATATGGCCTAGAAATGCAAGAAGTTAGGACTAAAAGGGGTCTTAAGGGTTACCTTGTTCCCTTCCTCTTTCAGGGGAAATGGAGACAGGAAACTGATAGGATGCTCCCACTCTCTACTCCCACAGGGCTGCTTTGAAGACACACCTTGAAAACTTCGAAGTGATATGTAAATGTGAGCTTTTATTATCGTTGTTATTAAACTGGGAAAGGTGGTCTAATGGTTAGAGTGCCAGACTTAGAGTCAGGAAGACCCGGTTTTGAATCCAAGTGACTTAATCAACCTGAGTCTCTGGCATCTCCATAGGACTTATTTACTAAATCATGGACAAGTTGCCAGCTGAATGGTTAGATGGAGTTTCCATACTGGGAATTTTGTATGCTGATGAAATCACAGATCCTGGTCAAAGAATATTTATAAAATGGGGATATAGCACTTAGTCTTCAGGGTAGTTGTGAAGATCAAATAATAAATACTTAGAAAATGTTTTGGAAACCTTAACAAACTATGTAAATATTAGTTATCATCAAGGCTGTTGGGAGGCTCCGGTGAGATCGCGGATGGAAGGTACCTCGCAATACGGCAAACACGAAAGAAGGGCCAGGTCTTAGCATTGTTGTTAGCTCCCAGTGGCCAGGCCGCCAGGCTGGTGATGACTTCACTCCTGGAGCCTTTTGCCCAACAATCCAGGGAGTGCTGGGAAATGTTTAACAAACTGACTTTCGGGAAATGTGGGCACACGTATTTCTAAGTTTCATCTGCATCATTAACACTTTCTTAAGTATAGATAGTCAATAACAACAACCAAAAAAAATCAAGTCCTGATTTGGACCAATTGCCAGTTTCTGAGCTATAAATGAATTACTCACCAAGAAAACGGAACAACCAGCTTTGAAGAGCTTGTCAGAGCTGGCTCCAGCAAGGCCCTGGTTCTTCTTCTTAGGTCACTGAGAGTTTAAGCGATTTGCCCAGTATATGTCAGAGGCAAGACTAGAACGCAGGCCTTTCCAGCTTCAGGGGCAGCTCTATAGCCGCTATGCAGGGATGCATCTCCCACTGCACACAGCATCCAGGAGAGAAATAATGAACGAGATCGTAGCTGTCATAGATGCTTATAGGTCACTTGGCACTGCAATGTGCCAAATACCTGCTGGTGAAACATCAAAGAAACGTTGAACGAAACATCAGATAATGTCAAGTACGCACTGTTTTGTTTGAAAACTAAGTCCATGGAATGTTTTACATCTAAAGTAGCTCACGATCATTTCAGCATCAGGTTGACGTGGAAATAAAAAGAAGGTGAAAGGAAAAAAAAATTAAGGTAGAAAAAGCCAAATGGGGTCAGGCCAGAGGGCCTCCACTCAGCTGCCTCTCCATCGTGTTCCAGTTCCTGTGGATCTGACCCTAACTCAGGCACTTGTTGCCTCCTACATGGGCTGCTGCAAAAACTTTCTGAGTGCTCTCCCCACCGCAACTATCGGGTCCAAAGCATAGGCACCGCCTCCCCCTCAAACTTCTACCTCCAGGATCACATACAAACCCCTTTCATAACCTGATCCCTTCAGATTTTTTCCATATTGGTCTACACATGATGCTTTATCTCCCACCTCTGTGCATTTGTACCGGCTGGTCCTCACACCTGGGGTGTTCTTCTTCCTCGCCTCTGCCTCTTAGTTTTCTTGGCTTCAAGACTCAGTTCAACTATCACCTCCTGCAAGTTGGACTTACCCAGTCCCGTGAGATGCTCGTGACATCTCCTCTCAGGCTACCTTGTGTCTACTCAGTATAGATCTTGTCTTCCTGATTAGAATGTAAGCCCCTGGAGGGAAGGGACTATATTTACTTACCCTTTGTACCCTCAGTGCTTAGCATAGTGAGTATGTAATAAAACACTTGTTGGTTGATTGAACTATTTAAGGCTCAGAGGCCCTATCCTATAAAATGGTCCTTGCACCATCACACGATTCACAGTGCTATTGTGAGAAAAGTGCCGCACAATAACCCAGAAAGTACGCGCCCAGAGACTGGGGAATGGCCCAACAAACTGTGGTATATGAACAAAGCAGACTATTTCGTTGCCACAAGAAATAATGAACATGAGGAATTTCAAGAAACATTAGAAGACTTGAATGAACTGATGCAGCGATGTAAGCAAACATAGGAGAACAAAACACACGACTACAATAATGTAAATGAAAACAACACAGACAGAGAGACGAACTCAGATGAAAGCTAATTCCAGAAGACAGAGTTCCCGACTCCCTCTTCTTAGTAGAGAGGTGGGGCCTATGAGTACAGAATGTTGCATACCTGTCAGGCAGTCATTTCTTTGTGAGGAGGGACAGTCCTGGGTGGAGATATCTCCAAACGCCTGTGGTAGAAAAGGCAAGAGGCATCAGTAAACCAACACGAACAACCCAGAGAAAGTGCTTAATAACCCTGTGTTCTTTACTTCATATTCACCTTTTTGTTCCCAGACTAATTTTCTGGTGGGGTCATTCATAGGTTGTGACTGGTCACATGGTTTCCTTCCTTAAACTAACTTCTCTTTATTTAATTACTGTTAGGTACTCTAAAATGCCTACAAACTGCACGGTTCTCTTATTGGCAGAAACATATCAGAATGAAGGCTGTAGCTCCATACTTAGAAGAGATCCACGACACCATGGTAAGTGAGAGACAATACTTTGTCAAAACAACAGTCCCTTTAAGCCTCAAAAGCGCCTTTGGGAACTACTGGAGTTTCTTAGCATGGACTGAAGGGGAGGACAGTCCTGGGCAGCAATAAGCAGGCCCATCTACACCAGAAATTCCTTCCTCCTGAGATGTAATGGGGAGTGTAGATGTGTCGATGTCATGTTCTGAAGGCTGGTGGTGAAAGAAAGCCATTCCCTCCTCCTTAGTGGGCAGATTTTTCATCCATAAGCCATCACAGAGGAATCATTTCCCTCCGATCTTTGGCAATGATGCAGGAAGGGCTCTGCGCACGCTGGTACTAACTCACACGAATGGGACTTTAAGTAGGGCAAAGACACATCAACCCTGGAAAATATGCATATTCCAATTATCCATCTGCACTATCCCCTCACACTTGAGGCAGTTCTTTGTACTTTTTTATTACCTGGGAACACTCTAATGAGGTTCTCTGACTACCTGACCTCATTTGCTTCTCCCCAAAGACCCTTTCTGATGTGATTTGAAACAGAAAATAAGAGAGGAATGAACATGGGTATACAGACCTCTGGGAGGATGCCCCCTCTGAACAGACCAACTTCATGGGCTGCTTGCTGTCCTATAATCAGCCAGGCTGCAAGCTAAGAAATCAACATGTCAAGAAGAGGAAGCACTTTGGGAAGCAAGGAATAAAAATGGATGCAGAAATCATGGCGAGAAACCAAGTGCTGTCGATTAGCTCCCAGAGGTGGTAACAGCTCAGCTCCTGAGCCTCTGCACTGCTAAGCGTCCCTTGAAACTACCTTCTCTTTGCCTTCCATAGGTTTGTATTGACTAGTACGTGCATATATTATTTCCCATGGTAAACTATAAGTTCATCGAGGGCAGGAATTGCTTCATTTCTTTGCCTACCCAGTGCTTGGAAGGCATCTGGAACAGAGTGGACATTTGATAAAAGCTTGCTGATTGAAAAGTATAGTTAAATAGCATTGTTTGCAATCATGTCACTGTATTTGTGTTTTCATATTGGATTTAAAACCACACTTAGGCATCATCAGAGAATCTAGGAAACTCCCCACAAAACTCCATTTTAGAGCTATGACATTTTTAGATCAGCGCCAAGAATTTAACTTTTATCCCTTGTCTGAGCAAAGCCATTTCATAATGACATCACTTTGAGGGTCATTTAGAGGATATGGGGATGTTTTGCCTAAAGAAGAAAAGACTTAGTTAGGGAAGTAATGACCCATCCTGTGAGAGGTCCTTTTCTGTCCATCCCAGAGGGCAGCACTACAGAGATGGGTGGAAATTGCAAAGAGGTAAATTTAGCCTAGATAATTGACTTATCTCAGTAGAATAGGATGCCTTGGGTGAGAGTAAGTAGGTCATCCTTAATTGAAGGCCTTCAGTCAAAGGGTAGATGACCATCTGTCAGGAGACAGGAATTCTTGGTCATGTAGGGATTGGTCTGGCCTGCTTCTGAGGTTCCTTCTAACTTCAAGAGTCTGTGGAATACAAATAGAGGAGGAGGGACATAGCCAGATGACAATGTGGGTGAAAAAGATCTGGGGGTTTTAGTGGACTGCAACCTCAAAATGAGTCAAGAATGTGACCTGACAGCTCCAAAATCTAGCAATTGTATGACAGACATGATTCCTTAGGACGAGGGAGGTGATAGGCTTTGGTCAGATCACATTTGAGATACTGTGCTCAGTTCCTGGTAGTGCATTTCCAGAAGGGGAGCTACCAGGTGGAACATACCCAGAGGAAGACAAAGAATGGTTGAGAGAACCCGGGATGTTATCATTCTGGAGAAAAGAAGCCTTGGGAGAGACAGGAGGCAGAATGAGGAGCAGCCATAGAGGAAAATTAGAGGGAGGCAGGTTTATTCTCAGTGTGTGGAGGGACCTTTCTTAAAACTGCACTATCCTCAAGTGGCCTGGGCTGCCTGAGTAGGTAGTGGGTTCTACTTCACTGGAGGTATTCAAGCAGAGGCTAGATCAGGGGTAGGGAACCTGTGGCCTTCTAGATCCTTAAGTGCAGACTTTTGACTGAATCCTTTTAAAGGATCTGTTCTGTAAAATTTGGATTCAGTCAAAAGGCTGCACTTAAAGACCTAGAAGGCCACATGTGGCTTCAAGGCCTCAGGTTCCCCACCCCTGGGCTAGATGATCATTTGTCGGCTACACGGTCAAGGGAATTTTGATCCAGGTATGGGTCAAACCAGCTGGCCGCTGAGGACCCTTCCAATTCGAGGAATCTGGGTTTCTAGGAGAGGATATTATGCCAGGAAGCTGAGAACTTGAATATTTTACAAATGAACTCTCAGATCATATTTGCAGGTGCATTTGGTAGGATAAGAAATTCCGTAAAACATCAGGAAGATCACAAAGGAACAAATAAAAGCATAGGGTATTCCCAAGGTAATGACATAGGTTACTGCATTCCCATGTATTTTCATCTTTATGAGCCAGTGTACTGATTCATGCCCTGATGTTTTGTTAGATGAATTTCAGGCTCTTATGCATGCATTCTCTACATAAGAAATGCATCAATGAAGAAATTGAGGAATCCCCTCACAGAATGATCTTGGGTAAGTCTCTTTCCTTCTCTGGGCCTCTCTTTCTGTATAGTGAGATAAATGCACCAGACTAGCTGATCTTGACTGGCTTGAAAATGCTATGATTCTATAAAGCCATGCTTTCTCTCCTTCCACTCCCCTTCCCTAAAAACCAAAGCCAAGACAAAACCAGCCCAAGATTTTTGTTTGCAATAACTTTCAGATATACACAGGGCTCTTTCTATCATCAAACCCCACTTGTGATCCAGGTATGATGGTGTGAACATTCAGTAAAAGGGGCCATAAAGCACTTTGTGGCTTGCTTCAATATTGACTCAGCAAACGGGATGGAAAAGCAAAGATCTGGCTTCTTATTTTTTTTTTTTTGCCTGAAAACCTTATTTGAAGCAGATGAGGCCAGTCTGTGGCCACTTCCATAGGTATCTCACCTGTTTCCTAAGCTCATTTTGAGTAGTTCATTTTAAATAGATACCATTCCCGAGTACTGTTTTAGATCTCTCTGTTATGTTTTCTATGTAAGGAAACTTGCCTGCTGAGACAGCACCATATGGAAATTTGGAATGAGAGGAACTGGATTCCAATCCTTTCCCTGCTTTTTACTACCCATGTGCCCCCTCTGGGCTTTCATTTCCTCTTCCATAATAATAGAATCTCTGAGTTGGAAGGGACAGATCTGCAAAGGTGTCTAGTTCCACCCATACCTGAATGATATCTCCAACAAAGTCACCTAGCCTTGGTTTCTTGGCCTTGAAGTTCATCAATGTCCTTGATTCCCGATACTTAAATCATCTCCACTTTACCCACAAGGATGGATAGTAAGACCAGGGTCTTTCATCATTAATCATAACTACGCCATCTCCATGATACAGAGCTCTCAAAGTCCCCTTTCTGGTCATGGCCTCCTATCTCTCCATCTCTGCCTCTGCCTCAGTGCTGCAGTTAGTTCTGCCTTCTTTCATCCTTGCTGTGATCTTCAATCACTCTATTTCCTGGCCCCAAGTTCACTCCCTTTTCCCCCTCCACATGACTCTACACTGTCCTGTAAATGAGGGTGCTTGACAAGTTCGTGATGGGGGTAATAAGGTCCCTCCCAGCTCTAACATGTTTCTCATTACTCAGCAAGTGGCCACTTGGGCCCTCCCCAAAGAAGGAACACCATTTAAAGCTAGCAGGACTCTGCAGGTAAATAAAAATCACCAAATCTCTAGGACTGGAGACAAATTTCTCTACAGGGCCCTTGGAAGAGTATTCAGTAGGAGTCCTCCTTTTACACAACGGGAAATGGAAAGCCCAGAAAAGAGAAGGATCTTTCCCCTGGAAACTCTGGGTCACCAGTAAGTTAGTGGCAGGGCTAGGACTCACCTTTTTCTTTTGGCTCTCCAAAGCCAGAAAAGCCAGCTTCTCAAAGCTGGAATCCAAAAACCTTCCAATGAATTCATTGTCTTATTTTGTGAAGTATTGTTTGTATTGTGAAGTTCAAATACATGCTGACATTCACATTGGCCTCTTTCGATTTAGTTTTCGGATGAACTTGACTTTGGTCTCAAATGGTTCTTCACTTTCGGGCAACAGTTATCTGACTATTTTTACATGTGTCTCTCCATTTTGTAAATGGACCCATTTCTGCATATGGGCCACAACACATAACACACACACACACACACACACACACACACACACACACACTCACAAAGGTGAGTATGTTTCCAAAAGCAAGGAAGTGGGCCCCAAATTATGGAGGTATACTTTGGAGAGAAAATAGTATCACACCATTTGTTCCCAGGCACGTCTACATTTTGCTTAGAATTTTCTAACTGCAGAACTGAGCAATACAGATCGTTTTGCCTTAAAGCTGTAAAAGGAGTTCTGACCTTATTGCAAGCAATATTTTACATTTTTATAGTAGCGTTCCTCCCAAGGCACCTTTCCAAAGTACACACATATAGCAGCATTGTCAGGCAGCTGCCCCGGGGGACAGAGGACAGAAACCAGGCTTATGAGTGCTGTCCACCATGGAGAGGAAGAAGAAGAGGAGGAGCAATCATGGCCAGGACAAGAGGAAAAAGCAAACCAAACTCACTTTGCCCTGGGAGTCTTTACAGACACAGAAGGTCAGAACTTTATGTTTCCAGCTTTGATGCCAAACATCTCTTGAAAAGATTGTTCCCCTGGAGGTGAGAGACTGCCTTTGATGACACCACGTGAGAGAGGTTCTTTATGAAACCCAAGTCTCAGCTTGGTACTTTTAGGCTGTTTCAGGGTGTGAGCCATAGCCCTAAACCCCAGTTCTGAGCCTATACAGCCTAGATTTGATTTGGAGGGACTGTTCCTCCCTACCCCAGTCATATTTCTTTGACTCCTTTTACCCCTACCTGGATATCCCTGGGAACCTGATGATTTAAATCATGCTTAAATAGCCACAGAAATGAGCAACGAGGCCCCAGCTCATGTGTGAACACTCAAGCTAGCAATATTGGATAAGGATAACTTTGATTTCCATCCTAAAAAAAATGCAGACAAACACAAAGGAGTCCCAGGACCCCATAAGGCCCAAGATATTCTCTAGCCCTCCAATGAGTCCTACTTTTTGTGACAAGGACCCATACAGGTCTCCAACCTAACAGTCCTACCTGGAGAGTTCAGATTCCGCTAGAAGGGATATGGACTTGGAGATGCTAGAGAGACCACTGTCTGCATCCAGGAAAACACATTTTCTATCCCAGGGACCTATGTAGAATGTGGGCCTTATGATACTAGCCTAAGGGCTGGGATTCTCCTTGAAGGAGAGAAACTTGGGGTTGCCAGCAGGCACCCACCTTCCCATCATGCTCATGGGTTGGATCGCAGAGCAGTAGTAGGCTTGCTCTTCCATCTGGCTTAGCCCCTGGCTGGTCCTCTACTGCAGGGCCACATGCTGATCCCTTTTCTCTGTCGTAGGCTGTGGCCTGGCTCTCTTACCACTCTACCACTGCCTCTTGCCACAGCTATCCCTCGGGTCATGTACTTGAAAGCTTCTATCACTGCTGCTCCATAGCTGCCATGAGCAGTTTCCTGGAGAAG